GTATGCGTACTCGTATTCAGGGTTATACTCGTAATATGAATCGTTATACGCAGCGCATTCGTTTGTATTCATTTCGCGGGATTTAAAATAATTTGTTGGTGGCGGATTGCCAAATTTATTCCAGTCATGTCCTGTCAACATTTTTGTGTGTGGTAAAGCCTTGGGAATAAAACGCTGGACTCCACTCATGGGCTGAGGTTGTTGAGGGTTATTTCGGGGTGGTAATCGGAACACGGTACTACGCTGGATGTAGTTAGGAGGGGGTGCACCGAACATGCGCTGGGTATTAGTTGGCATGCGCTGTTGGTGTGGTACGGGTTGAGGAAATTTGAACGGCTGAGGTGGGGGTCTATAAGGTCTTTGCCCAACAGGAGTTGGCCAATTAGGTACTGGAGTTTGGAAAGATTGATGTTGAGGAATGGAAGGTGGAATGAACTTGGGGGAATGTTGACTTTTTATGGAGTCATTGCGCTGTTGGAGATACATAATGTTTAATTCCTCCTGTACATACTCTAATGCTTTCTCTATTGTCGACGGTCGCATGCAACGTATACGAGATCTTAAAGGTTCCTTCAAGCCACGGACATATGCTTGCATTGCAACTTTCCTATAAAGATCCCGTTTGGCATTGATGGTGGTCGGTATGGTCTCATGTAAGGACACGTAAGTCATTATCGTGCTAAACAAAGTTTGGCAATGGTCGTAAAATTCTTGTTTTTTTTTTTTTTTTATAGAAGAGGGGGCAAACGAGCATGTGGCTCACCTGATGTTAAGTGACTACCGCCGCCCATGATCAACCGCAACACCAGGAGAATTGCAGGTGCGTTGCCGGCCCTTTAGAAAGGAGTAAGCTCTTTTCTTGAAGGTTCCCAGGTCGTATCGGTCCGGAAAAATCACCGGTGGTAAATTATTCCACACAGAGGTTGTATCTTGTGGAGTTCTATGGCCTTGCGAAGCTAAGGAAAGGTCATTATATAAAGCCGTTTCGTCCCGCTGGTCGGAAAAATTATTTATTAGTGCTGTCCTAATACCTAACCAATTTTCAGGAATACCATTAGAGTTTATAGTGCAGGCAGCGGTTCCCGTTATTTTGTTAAGAATACCGTTCAAAAGACATAAATTAGAAAATTCACTATCGGGCGCATTGCTTAGGTACTGCGAGGCTAGTCTGTCACATATTTTTATAAATCTAGTTAAAACGTTAGGGTTCCCATCAAACTCCGGGACGAGGCGTAAAGCCTTAAAAATTGTGTCCAGGTCATGGGCCATCTCTGTTAAATAAGTATTATTTAATTCTAAATCTAAATCGGTTTGCCTATTATTACCTAATATATGACGGCGAGCCTGTCGAGATTCAGGCTCCCGAGAACGAGTTACTCTAGGATGATAAATCTTGAAGGGAAAGATTTAAAACTTAGGGATAAGGGAAAGCAACACGAGATCAATTCAAGTGTACTCACGTGGATTTCATCTGGTTTCTCTCGACGAATCGAAGGCTGGATTCTCCTCCTAGTCTGCAGCTGGTCCGTAGATCCGGATACTCTTCGAAGGGACTTGATAGCCGCCGGGGTGCTTCACGGTTATGAAAAGATATTCCCTAACTATCGCAAAACTACCTCTGAGTATCCTACCGACTGCGCCAATTACGTTAGCTGCGGCCGGAGGTTCGGAAAAAAACCAAATTTACTTATAAAATATATTTAAAATAAAATTACAAATTATGTTACTATAGCTAATTAATCTAACAGAATGAGCTTTGTGTAAATGAGTACGTGATATTTTATACATCCGGCACGTGGCTTGAATTGCTGCGCCTGCATTCCTGTCGGTTTACATAGCAACTGTTCTAGGTGTAGTAGTCAGCGATCTTCATATCATAGGTATATGTAACTAGCTTATAATACTAAATTATATATACAACATGTAACAAAAACCCTGTGGTTCCCGTTAAGTGTGTTATCAGAATCAGTATCCAAGCGTATAGAAATGACTTTTTTCAAAAACACATTTAAAAAATTAATTTTATGAAAATATAATTTGAAATGTATGTGGTTTTATTTCTTTTAGTATCTCATTGCTACCGATAGATGGCAGGATAACCATATTTTGGGGCGGCAATGTCCGAAAAGTCTGGTGTAACGACTGCCAAGCCACCTTACAAGAGTGGCGATTAAAGCCAATCCTCTTTAACAGTGAAGGCCTATGACGAGTAAGACTTTTACGAGCTGATGGAAAAGAATAAGATTACAAAAAAGTGATTGTATAGCTGTATATATAAACATCAATTTCTGTCCGTTATAGTCTCGCTAAAACTCGAAATCAGCTCGAATGAATTTGAGGAGGATTTTTATGTGCGTTTGCTAATAAAATCCAAAAATCTATGGTGGATCGCCAGTATCTATATATTAATACGAGCACATTGCGTGCATGGAGGTGAAATTTGAAGTAGATAAAGTAAATGTGGCGAAGAAGTGCAGAAAACTGATATATATGAAGAATATGGGTGACAAACGAGCACATAGTTCACCGGATGGTAAGAGGATGCTGTGGCCCATAAACATTCCATACATATCCTCTGTTAAAAGAGTAAGTCAGATTTTTTTAATATATCGCGCTTTTTATGTTGCGTTGTAACTGAGATGGAATGCCTCGTTTCCAGTAAAAAGGGTCTCTGGTTCCAAACCTCTCTAAAAAACCAATAAAACTGGTAAACCAAAAAACTCATAAACCACTCTTATAAGGATACAACCCCTTTTTGGCACTCTTATACGCCTCTAAAAGAACTCTAAGTTCCATCTGGGCTGGTATATCATAACAGTTTTGAGCTGCTTGGATACTGCCCTACCCTCATTGGCAAAACGGGCCATTGGCGGACTGGAGAGGAGTAGCCAGACGCAGGACGGCCCGCTGTCAGAATATAACTAATATGCGTACAATAAATCTAAATCCGAGCTTTCGACCGTAAATTTGCTTCAGAAGTCTTGGGATTAGATAAAAATAAATTGTGCATTCTGTCAAGTACACCGATTGGACACTTTTGTGTTTGTGAAAGTGTCGAGCACTTTCACTGTCCGGTTTTCATACACAATATTAAGAAGGATGGCGAAAAGGTTAAAAAGGAAATTTCCACTCTCGGACTAAGCAACTTAAGGATGTGCTAACGGAAGAAACGCCTCTGCACATCCTAACTGATTGTGGAATTTTATGCTTAAATATAACCCATCTGGAAAACTATTTAGGTACTCTGCCCAGAAGAAGTGAAATTGCTACAGCTAGGCAACTCCTTCTATTCATTGAATACTAACATTGGGCTTAGCAGTGAACTACAGCCATTGCAGCAATCGCAATAAATCTTTTAGGTCTTAGTGATACTGGATTCTTTCTCTAGAACTGCATAGCTGCTCGTACATAATCATATTGTCTATGTATGTTATTAGTCTAAGGCCAATGTTGAACATTTAATAACTTGTAATCAAACAACATTAACTTTATATTTAGTGTATTAGATAAGTTTTTTGATATTTTAATGGGCAGGTGAAAGTGAAATAGAGATGAATTACGTTAAAATTTCGATCACTGTTAGTAGTAGTTTAACGCCTGTACGGAAAGAATAGCAAATTTACTCATTAATAAATTTGCGCCGGTAACTTAATTCTTATAACTTAATAACTCAGTCAAAAGTTATTCGTAAATAAAATCAGCAAATTAAAAATTACTGTTATATGAATAAAATAAAATAGTTGATGTTTATCACTTTTATTATCAGTCAGGTTATAATTAATTTCATTAATATTTTTTCCAAAATCAACCTGAAGCAAAAATCAACCAGAAAAAATTATATTAACCAAAGATCTTTAATTATTTTTGGAATCAAAATATAATTAAAAATAAACTGTTTTTTTTATATACATGTGCAAATATCTCACTGAATTCATCAACCCTTAGAAGTTTAGACTTCAAACGTTAAAAAAATGCCAAAACAACTTGCAAACAGATTGGCGATCGTATTACCTCATGTTTCACACCTTTGCTACTAGCTAACCTCTACGTCCAATATATTTACGAAATAATAATAGCGTTATTCTATCGAAGTTTTAAAACAGCTTTCGAGGATTACCCAAACCTGGCTCTTATAAGACCCACTGGATAACGTAGTCGGTAAAGTCTGTTACTGTCATCTAATTTTTGTTTCTTAAAATGCCAGGGCTTCTCGTAATGTTTGTTTTTGACGTGGTAGAGCCATGCTGCAGCGATATACGTTGTATAGTTGTAGCACAAATGGGTCGGCTCGACCGGGGAAGGACCACGCTCTCACAGAATACCAGCGACAAATAGCAGCTTAATGCTGCTGTGTTTCGTATGGTGAGTGTAGAGAACTGGAGACCCTTTTTACTGGAAAAGAGGCATTCCATCTTAGTTTTCAAGGCTGACAACGTATCTTCACTTTGATTTGCAAACGAGGATAGGTGTAGATGTCTATGGGCCACAGCAACCATTTACCACCCATTTCCTATAAAAAATATTCTTTACAGTCAATAAAAAAAACTAATTAAACCTTACAAAACCTTACTATAAATCTGATTAAAGTCACATTTCATTAATTACAGCCTAGTTCACCGCTGAACATACGTCTCCAAAAAATTGCTATGGAGAACATTGTCATTATAGTAACCACGCCTGGCAAGTGGTTTGGAAACTGCAGGAATTTTTAGTTTTTATTAAGGAGACGCTGTTGTCCACCTCCTCGTTTGTTTTCCTCTGCCGCCTCTTACGACACCCACGGGGCGATATCGGGTAGTGAACATTCACAAACTGCACTATATGGTCGAAGTCATATTTACATGGTGGAAACCATTGCATTGCTATTGTTGTGTTTGTGTTTATATGAAAATCTGAAAATTTTGAGGTCATATATCTTCATGCAAATATAAAAATAACTTTACTTTAGTTAGTTAATAAGAACCTAATAAAGATAAAACTTTAAATAAATTTTTATGCAGAAATTTACATGCGTGATATCCGGAGACTGCTACATATCCTTCGCTGGTGAATCAAAATCTCCGGGTGCTACGGCTACATTGGAGTCAATTGGGAATTTGGGACCGAATGAAAACAGAGTAATCGCAAAAGAACTATCCGATTTTATGGAAAAAGAAATAGGTGTAAATCGTGACAGGTAATATTTATAAATTTAAATGTGATTTAACACTTGTTTATAAAATATTATTACTTTGTATTAGACTTGCACGAATATCTGGATACTATTCAGTCGAATACCAAATACTAAGATGTTTTGTTGTAATCAGATAGTATGAAAAATTGATTTATTTGATAATCATGTATTTTATTATTAGTAGTCACAGGTAAATAATCACGTATGAAATGACAATAAAGTATCAGAACGTGATTAAATAAGAAGTGCTGAAAGACTATATTTTCTGCATTCTCAGGCAGTAGTTTGCTAATTTTCTTCTCGTAGACAATCCCAACTTCTGAGAATAGACGCTTTGAATAAAGAAAACAGTGCTTCCTTCCCCGCCGAATGCTTTTTCCTAACATTTACTTTTCGGCCAGGAAGTCCGCCAAATAATCGGTATTCAACGTGCTGTCCAATATACTATTGGTTGCAAGTCTACTTTGTATTAGTTTTAATTATAAATTGTACCATTTACGGACTTCGCTGATATACATGGATGTGTTTAACATGATATAATAGGTCGGGTAAAAAGTTTCTTGGTATTTTAAACACAAATTTAAGACATTTTTTATTCAATTGTTCGATAATTTGCGATATTTTGTTCAATAACTTGTTGCCATCTCGTGAGTAGTGACATGATCCCCTTGCTGTAGAAATTATTATTCGACAAGTAGTTTTAACAGTCCTCTCTTGATGTTATTCTAACAGTACCAAAACAAATCTGAAGAGACCGAAATAGGTAATAATCTGAGGGTGTAAGGTCTGTATGCATTAACACTTCCCTACCAAGCTCTCTTAATTTTTATTGAGGGGCCATAGATGTTTTGGTCTGGCGTTATCACGATGAAAGACCTGTTCTGACACAGACAGACAGACCTAACTGTTTCTGCAGCACTGGTACCACGGTAGAACTCGTACTCGTAAATATACCGATATTTCATGTTTTCATTGTGCGCTAATAAGCGACGCCAAAGAAAAAAATTATGAGGAAAAAACAAATGAATGACTATTTTCAAAACTCAAATGTACCAGCTAAATGAATTTATAAATTTGAATTTGGAATTCTTAACCAAAGAGGAGATATTTCAAATCAAAGTGGTCAGTAGGACAAAACGCTAATTTCATATATAAAGTCCCACTAGAAATACGATTTTGAGGGGATACATAAAATTTCGAGCAAGTTAAATAAATTAAATGGTTTTAGTGAACAATATCAATTGAGAAATTACAAATAAAATTGACGATAACTATTATATATTTTAGTTGACCTGAGCGTTGCGTAGTGAAAGTAGTGAAAATAAATTAAATAAATTTTAATTTTAAATACTTGTAGCTCTAAAACGTATTCCTCTATTAACGATGGTTTATAAAATTGCATTTCAATTAAAATACAAATGGGAGATAGTGCGGTGATAATTCGTACGAAAATAATTTGTTATATTTCGATATAACTGTAAATGCCATGGTTTTAATTACGTTTAAATTCTCAATGAGAATGTAAATTCTTTCGAGAAATAACGCAATCTAAACCTGATAATAATTTGTGCCCCTTCGATTGACTAGATTTGATTATTCAAAATCAAAAGTATTGTAATCGTTGGACTGACTACTAATTATCGTATGACTAGAGTATCTTATAAATTATTATTGTAGACGTAGGTAGTTATTAATTATTAAGAACTAATAGACGCTAGGAGGAAATGAAATGACTTAAAATAGTATCAGTAGGTGGTCATTTATTATATGAGAGGGGGCAAACGAGCATGCGGCTCACCTGATGGTAAGTGACTATAGCCGCCCATGAACAACTGCAACACCAAGACGAATTGCAGATGCATCGCGTTAAAAAGAGGAGAACTCTTTTCCTGAAGTTCCAAAATTGAAAAAAAAGCTGGTTAATTATAACGAAATTCTGCGAGGAAGAAAACTTTTCTTTTATATTGAACAGTGACGAACCATCACCCAGATTTTAGATGTATTATGGGTGGGATTGCAAGTTTTGTTGCGATGTGCCGTGGAGCGGCTGGTATTAGTCCAAACAAATCCTCTGAGCACTCCCCGTGGTAAATGTGATAGAATACGCAAAGAGATGCCACATTTCCTCGCAACACTAGTGAATCAATTCGAACCGCTGTGCGCTGGATGAGATCAAATGGAAGTAATCCATGCGAGACCGAACCTGTACCTTGTAAAGTCGCAGGCGGTGCGCTGGAATGAAATACTGTCTCTCTCTGCTGAGCACGCCAAGCTTTTTAGAGGCCAATTCTGCCTTCTCTTACAAGTGACCACGAAACTCACGTCATTCGGTATTTCGATGCCAAGGGTTAAGATACTGGCTAAGGCAACAAGAGGAGTTCCCTAAAACTGAAGAGATACGTATGCAAAGAGATTCTTTTCAGCGGTAAACGCGCAATGTTGTATCTTCTGGGGTAGCCTTAATTGAGCAGTTGTTCCGGTACCTACTCGGAGACGTTTTCCCGAAAAATTTGGCAGCACCGGTGTATAAAGCATCATCAGTGCTATCGTCCGCATGGCAATAAATGTTATCGGTTTGCAACATATGAATAATATCCAGAAGAAAAGAAATAACGTTGGTGATAGAACGCAGCCTTGTGGAACATCAGCTTTAATAGGCTTTTAATCGGAACACCGTCCACTATGACCTTAATGCTCCGATCTGCCAGAAAACTGGTGAACCAATTACAGAATTTCTCTTGAATCCCATAGGAAGGAAGCATAGAAAGAAGTGGTTTGTGGAAAAACCCCATCGAAGGCCTTCGCTATTTCCAAACTAACCTTCAAGGCTTCCCCCTTCGACTTGACCACCTGCGCCCATCGGTGGCTGAGCGGCTCCGACGGAAACCGTACTGGAGCATGTGCTGGGAGTTAATAATGGACTCTATTATTTTCGAGAAAAGGGAGGTGATGGCAATAGGCCTGTAGTTGGATAGATCAGAGCGGTTACCATTTTTAGGGATCAGGTGAACGAAAACTTTCCCCCACGAATTTGGGACTACGCCTAGAAAGTAGGAGTATCGCAAAAGACGCGTTAGAACCGGTGCCAACTATGGAACACACGTCCTCATTAATTGGGGGGATCCGTCAGGTTCACTCGACTTGTATTTTGATACTATGACTTTGTATGTCTTAAAGCTATGATTTGACGTTAAAAGTGTAGTGAAAACATGCCTGATTTATAAGTTATTAAGAAGGTAATTTAAAACTGTTACTACATTACAAACTATTACATTCGCTTTGTCCAGCGAGGACTGAAGCGCGTACGAATCGATTTTGTGAATCATCGCAGCGATTGTGCCCTTGTCTTTGATATTTTTTTCGCTAATAAAGCGCCTTAATAATTGCAATAAGGTCGAATTTCACCTTAAATAAATAATTCAAGAATGACAGAAATTTGTGCAGGCGGTTCTTCCCCTACAGAATAATTTGCAAATGTAACAGAGTATAAAAATAATTCAAATCACGCTCAGTTCACGTAAAGTTTGCTAGCCCAATAGTCCGAGATGGTTTTCTCGCATCGACAATCGTCTTCAATACGAAACAAAAAGACAAAGACAAAAAGCTTAGCTCAAATCATATAGGGATATCAGGATAACGAACACTTATCTATGTTATGGAACATTTGTCTCCGGCTATGAAGTCTCTTCATGAGGCAACCCGTGTAGAGCTAAAGAAAAGGTCTATAGATACTCGTATGTATGGATTTAATCGGATTCAATCTCTCAACAATTTAAGCTAAATTAACACTAATTTATTAAAGAAAATTTATTATAACAATTCATACAAATAGGTAGATTATCTTATCACAAAATTCAATAATATATCACGTTATTACCAAGAATGTCCGAGGTCCAAGATCAAGATAGTTAAGATAATGTAAGAGAAGTTTGATTAAAAACCCAAAACAATACTTTTGACATTATGCCATCCTTACAGTAATGTGGTTAAACTGCACAGTTTAATATTTTTAAATCTTTGACAACAGATATACAGTGTACAGAATGGATCGTGCAAATAATAAACTTATTGGCGAGGTTCTTACAGCTGTATTTAACAATTTATCATCTTGCAGAATATCTTATTACAATACTGAATGCGAAGATCTCTGGGTAAAGGTTAACATTTTTATAGGTAAGAAATGCGAATTCCTTAAAATCTGTGTGGGGTGCCTGCCACCACCCCTAAATAAAAACTTATTTAAACATTCAGAAATAACACAAATCAAATCATGTATGAGTATAACAAAAAGCAAATGTTAATAGCAGGTGACTTTAATATTTCAAATGTAAACTGGGAGCTACATAGCTGTGTGCACAATAGTAATAAAAACTTTTAGCTTAGTTTTAGTTAACTCTAAAATCATCATCATCATCATCATTACAGCCCTTCACAAGTCCACTGCTGAACATAGGCCTCCCCCAAGTAATGCCACAAAGCACGGTCCTGAGCCACCTGCATCCATCGACTTCCTGCATGTCTTACCAGGTCGTCACTCCATCTAGTGGGGGGTCGCCCTACACTACGCCTACTGGTACGAGGCTGCCACTCGAGAACCTTTCTTCCCCATCGGTTATCGGTTCTTCGAGCTATATGGCCGGCCCATTGCCACTTCAGCTTACTAATCCGTTGGGCTATGTCGGTCACTCTGGTTTTACTGCGGATATCCTCATTTCTGAGTCTATCACGCAGAGAAACTCCGAGCATAGCCCTCTCCATAGCTCGCTGAGCGACTTTAAGCGTCCTCATACGGCCAGCAGTGAAGGACCACGTCTCAGATCCGTAAGTCATCACTGGCAACACGCACTGGTTGTACAATCTAGTTTTTAGAGATTGAGGTATACCTGACGAAAAGATATGCCGTAATTTCCCGAACGCTGCCCAGCCGAGTTGAATCCGTCGATTGACCTCTCGGTCGAAGTTGGACTTACCTAGTCGGACTATTTGTCCCAGGTAAACGTATT